CGGACATCAATTTTTAGATTGAAATGGCATGACTAAACGCCAATTTCTCAATGTTAATGAGGCTGATATCTTAGACATAGTCCTTACATGTTCATGATTATCTAGGATAATGTGCTTTGCAAATATGTAACTTATGTTCAGCCAGTTAGCATTTAATCATAAGTCGGGTTATAGGCGCTTAAAGCAAGAATAGAAGATTATGTGAGTTTATTGTCAAAATAACTCTTCTTCCAAAACATATAACCCAAGTAACTTAATTTTAAAATTTATTACGTTTATGATTCTTTTTTTTTCTACTTAGGCTGCATACATAGTTATTAAACCCAACCCGGGAGGGAACCCGGTGAACGAGGTGGGTCAACGGGTTACTGGTTCAACCAGTGGGTGGGTGGTTGAACCGGTGGGTCACTAAATATATTTAAATATTATATTTTATAATTTTAAATATAAGATATATGATATAAATTATAGTAAATAATGTCATAACAAATGCTCATATAATTTAATTTGCTATAAAAAATTAATTCATATAAGAATCAATAAAATATAAAGTTATTTAGTAATACACCAAACTTCAAGTATAAAATTTTATCTATGTTTAGTGTAATTATCTAACTTATTTATAAATTTTAAGTGCAAAAAATTATTAAAAATAATATATGTTTTTAAAATGAATTATGTAACATGTTAATTTTTAAGTCCATTTCATAAGTTTGGGGGTCATAAATTATTATTAAAAGATTCCAAATTAATTTGTTTTAGAGAAATAAAACAGAAAGATAAAATTGATAAAATGTTTATATATAATAAGTAAGCAACCTTATCACCATCTCGCAAGGTAGCCTAGCGGTTTCGTCGATGTTGCTTTGTACCAGAGGCACAGGTTCGACTCTCAGCACTGCCATAAAATTTTTATATGAAACTCGGTTCTTAGACACAACCGGCCGGGTTTTCGGTTTAATCCGGTCGAACCGGCGGTCCGTTGACTAATCAACGGGTTGATTACTTAAACGATCCAATTGAAAATCCAGCCTGGTCCCATGTCCGGTTCGACCGTCGGGCCGGACCGGGTTTAATAACTATGGCTGCATATGTGCCAGGATGGAGATAAAGGCATATTCCATTTCTCTTTTCCGTATAATATCTTTTCCAATTTTCTTTCTAAACCTTCCCGCATTTTTTTGTTTCATTATCTTTCATTTGTCAAATGTAATTCTAAGAAGCCAATATTTATATGAACAACATCTAAAAAATATGCTTCTCAAATCGATAATCTCAAGGGAAATAAAAATTATTCTCTTGTCCTTTTAAGAAGTAGGAAGGATAATATAAACAAATATGATAGTCTTGAAGTTTTGTAATTGCTTACAATTTTCATTGAAATTTTTGTTGCAGTTTTTTTTTTTGTATTTTTAAAATTTATTTTTTGAAAAAAAATATATGCAATGGGTTTGATACATTTTAAAAAATTCAAAGACCAATAATAGCAAGGTCAATAATGGTAGAATTTTGAAAACAGTACTGATATAACTGTTTTAATTTAAATTTTTTTTGTGTCTTTCCAACCCATTCTACACCCAGTTGCCAGGTTTATAATACGAACTCTGAACTTAACAATAAAAAAGGCTCTAAAAGGTGGCGCTACTTTATTCACAGGGCTAAACTGCCTTAGTTTACATTTTTTTTTTTTTTGGTTACATATAAATTTTCAGTAGTAGATTAGGATGAGCGGTTGGAAGGGAAGAAATAGAAGTTCTTATCTTGCATTGACCTTAGTGCCATTATCGGTCATTGGATACCCGAATCAAGATTCAAAGCTCCATTTTTCCATAAACTTTATTGATACAAGATTAACAATACAATGACAATTACTTAATTTGTAGAGAATCTTACTATCAATTGAAGACAGGTGGGTTAATAACAAATTTTAGTGAATATGTATTATTTAGTATTTACTTATTAAAAGATTCATATTATTCGCATTGATGATATAAGTAAAACCGATCCAGTTCTGATCCCTGTACACTGGTCTATGGTCTATCTCGGACCTCGAAATATGGACCGGATTTGGACTTGGACCCGTGCTTTAAGATGAATAGGCCGCCATGGATCTTCACTGGCAAAAAAATTGCTTGGAGTATAATAAAGTTTAATTTCGTGAAAAGTTTGTTTAGGATTTGATTATAGACCGTTGATAATATTTTACTACAAATTAATATTTCGATTTAATCATAACCTTATTCCTGAATTTTAGATATATATGAAAAGTAAACACTTGTGATTTCTTAAAGATTTCATTTACGTTTGTAATCATGAATATGTTCCAAAAAAAAAAATATCACACTACTGAAGCTCAACTCGAATTATATATAAACAAGCTATAAAAGTGTATTTAGATAGCAAATTAATTGAACAAAACTCCAAAACTACTGCACTATTTAAAATGGTTGTTTTTGACAAATTTCAATCCATGATCATTAGCTCAATCAACCATAAGAATCCCCAAATTGAGTTCACTTTTAATAACTTTAGGCATTTTATTCTTTGGTTGTTGTCAATCATTTCTCGAGATGTCATGTCCCTTGGGTTTGTCGAACTCGTGTGACGTCGGCGTCAGTTAAGAATGCTTGGTTGTCTTCCGACGGGAAATTTTGCTTTTGCTTTTGCTTGGTTGTCATGTCCCTTTACTATTGCTTCCGTTTCTGCCAAGACCCCTTTCGAGTTCTAGTCGTGATCGTGCTCGGTTGTATCCTAATAGGAAATTTTGGATAACAAATCACCTCACAGGATTCCACTAATCACTTGACCTGAAAATTGAGGTTTTGCCGATTTTTTGGTTCATCTCCCCATGTCTAGAAACACCTTTTTTCATGGTAATTTCCTTTTGATTAATCCATACATAATAATGTCGAACGTTCATGTTAATCGATTGTCGTCGAAACTTATAATTTGCTAATATTTGCAGCTTTTTTCCAATATCTACAAATAAAATATAATCACTTTTTTATTTTTTTTTATATGATAATAGTCATACTATGATCATCATTTAGTTGGGAAAAAATGTGTTAAGTATTACAAAGAAGAAACCGAAAATAAAAAATTTCGAATTCGAGACCTCCTATTTCATAAAAAAGAGAAAAAAGATAACTATGATCATTATTTAGAACGGCAATGTCAACATCCTTTTGTTGTATCCGGTAATTGCTGCTTCGTTTCAAGCAAAACTATCAATATCTACAGTTTGTAATTTTATGATATCGTAATTGTAAAGAAATTTCATTCTTCTCTTTCCAATTGTCCATAGATTTTCTATGGAAGCTGTGGCTCCGGTGAGTTTTCCATCAGGGCTCCGTAGATGATGGTGCATCTCATTAGACCGCAGAGTCTCCAATCAAACAGGAACCAGTGGCCCCCATGCTTTCAGCTGGATAGGCCTGGATTTTCTCAGCCGGGGCCCAGCAAAAGTTGTGAATGGCCTACCGTAGACCCGATCGCGCAAGAAATTTTTAATCTTCTTGGGTCTCTCGAGTTGACTGTAGAACAAGTCAACAAGTCAGAATTTATTAATAATTGCGGCCTATTTTTAACTATTTCATTAAATCTAGCTGTCGAAAAAAAAAAGTTTGGAATATGCTGCAGCTTAATACATGAAAATATTGTTTGGGATTGATTGCGCCTTTACTAAACTAAGTTTTACTAGAATTGTAAGTTCTTGACTAACTAAGTTTTTTAGAATTTATAACTTCTGAGAAATTATAGTTTCTTCTCGCTACTAGATTGAGTACATCTTAAGTCTGGCGATTAGGGGTGGGAAGGGTGTGGACAGAAATAGAAGGTATAAAAAAAAGCTATAGTCATGACTTTGTCCCAAAAAAAATCAAATTGCTGAATCTCAATTTGAACGATATATTTACAATTTATTGCTAAGACGTATTCGGGTATTAAATTAATTGAATGAAAGAATCGTTCTGTTTGAAATGGTTTTTTTTTTTAGAGAATTTTTAAAAACGTTTAGTATAGCCACATTATTGGAAGAGTGTATGTATGTAAGATAAGAAATTATTAAAAGGTTTTCATAAATGATCCTTCCAAACAAAAACAGTTTTCCATTTGCTTTAACTTATTAGTTTAACCTGCGAATTTCCTCTCAGATAAATGATGAACAAGCTTTAAGTTGGACAAAATTTTCTTCTAGTTTATGCAGGAAAGTTAAAATTCTAAGACATGAACATGTTAAAGGGATCTTCTTTTCTGCCTCAGCTTGTTCAAACTTAAAAACTGGTCAGGAAAGACTCAAGTTCGTCTACAAAAAGCTATTCAACGATTAGAGGAAGAATATTTTGGTAGTAGTACTCAAGGTTGTATTCAGAAACTCTTGCAAAATTGCTTCTCCTGAAATGTTTCCAAATTCCAGGTTTAAATAAGACAAGAACTTGCGGTCCAGATATTTGATGCAAACCAAAACACATGATGGAAAACGTTTGATTTACGTTTATAGAAAAACAACCCTGTATTGACCGTAACATAGGAGTAGAACAAGTCGAGGGTTAGATTTTACTTCACATATTTAGATTTTTTTTTTTTTCCCTTTACCAGAGCATAATATAATGGGAACTAACTTTTTTATTTTCCAAAAAAAAAAAAAAATTTGCATCGCTGGAAATAGATGATATGAGAAGCTTGGACAGGAACAAGAAGTCAAGAGGAAAATAGAGATAAGGACAAAATTAAAAGTTCTGACATTTTTTTTTAATTAACAATAAAAGGTAATATGGCTTGACAGAGGGGCTAGGCAAAGTGCAACAAAATAAGCGTTAAGAAGTAAAGTGCAAATAGTGCTAACTGTTAAAGAGAGCTTTGTGCCTTTCAGCCATGGGATTTTTCAAGCATTTACAGCAGGCACTCAACTGTCTTTCTGGTACCACATTATAAATTTAAACCGTTGGCAGCTAGTTTTTCCAAACATAAGCAGCCCATCTTTTTTCTTGCAACTATAACACAATTGGCTGCATGTTCGGCAGGTTCACGAGTTCACAAAACATCGCCATTTTGGCTTCAGCAATGGTGTGGATTTTCTTTCTTTCTTGGGTAATATGTTTTTCTCGTATGCAAGTCCATGCTGCAGGAGAAGGCAAAAGGCCGCTGATTTCCATGAATGGTCGCAATTTATCTGAAAAAGAGCTTAAGTTTGAGGAACATGCACGAAGGGAACTTATACCAGGCAGATCCAGTAAGTCCTTTGATATATATATATATATTCTTTGCAGCTATCCTTCATCTCCAAGCATTGTCAGGCACTATTCTTAGCGACATCTAAATAATTTATTGTACGTCTATTTAGTGATTCCACTATATGCCATTTCGTTTCCGGTGAGATACTTCTGTCAAGAATTTTAGGCCTTTGTACGTTAATTTGGTCTTGCACTGTACAGACACAGGCACAGACAGATATATTCAAGAGCTCGTTTGGATGGGTGTTTTTGAGAATATTTTTGTAGAACTTTAACTCTAGATATGTGTTTTATAAAACCATTTGATATGGTGCTTTAAAAATGTTTTCAAGTGTTTTTGGGAATGATTTTAAAACTGATGATTAGCGCCATCCTCTTCTCACCTCTACCCTGCCCTCCGATCTCCACTCTCTCTCCCCCCGCTTCTTTTCTCCACCTCTGGCCACCCTCGCATTCCATCCCCTCACCCCTCCTATTTTCCACCCTTCCTTGTCAGCTCTAAAAAAAAAAACCATCAAATCACCCCTACCAGATTGCATAGATCTTTCATGTGGCCATATCATAAAAGGGACGAGGGCGCAAGGGAAAGAGGGGGTGTGGTACTTATATTTAGAGATTTAATTAAACCCGAATTATGAGTAGCAAAGAATGATTGCAACATTCATTTTCTGAGGGCTTGGGGACAAAGCCATTAAGGGTTTGTTTCGATATGTTTCAACCACCTTTTGATTTCACATACATCATATCACAAAAATGTTACGATATTTCAACAAATCTCCTGTCCAAACACACTCATTGTTTCTAATTTTGGTTGAATAGATAAGTCCAAATGCACAGATTTGTCGATGACTTGATTGATTTTTGTCTGCAGGTTTCATCAGTATCGACTGTGGCATAGAAAATGGTAACGATTATACTGACAGCGAAACTGGAATTAGTTATACATCAGATACGCAATATGTTGAGAGCGGAGTAAACATGAAAATATCTGATTTATTCTTGTCTCAAACTCAAAATTATCAAAAGCTGCTGTCAACTGTTAGAAGTTTTCCTGAAGGAAACAGCAGTTGCTACAGGCTGAAACCAACAGCAAATGGTGGAGGCAACAAGTACCTGATTAGAGCATTCTTCATGTACGGAAATTATGATTTCAAAAGTCAACCACCACTTTTCAAACTCTACCTTAATGCAAATGAATGGGATGAAGTAAAACTGGAAAATGCTTCTCAGATTCTGATCAAAGAAGTCATACATAATCCTCCTACAGATTATATACACGTCTGTCTTGTCAATGTTGGCTCCGGAACACCTATCATTTCAGCACTTGAGATAAGAGAGTTGAACAACACCATCTACGAAACTATGTATGATGATTCGCTAATCCTCTACAGAAGGTTAGATGAAGGTGCAAGTTCAACGATTAGCAACAAATTCCGGAGGTAAATAAGGTCTATATATGAGTAAGAATATAATTAATTATTTGAATATTGTTCTCTGCATTTTAGACGGAATTAATTTGGTTTTCCAATTCTTCATTTTCAGGACTGCATGTCTATTTTTTTTATTTTATTTATTATTATTATTTTCTGTAGTTTGGAATTTTCAGCATTCAAAACCACACTAAGCTCAGGTGCCTGTTTATTCAAGGGCAAAAAATAGTCGAATCCTTCTCATTATCTTTTAATCCTGTATAACTCTTTAATTTTTTTTTGGAACTCAGAATTTTTAAGACTAGTGCTCAAGGTTCAATTACATACGAAGTTAAAATGGCTCAAAGGTCTATTAATTAGTAGTCCAACTTCTTCCATGTCACTTTCCAGCAACTGGCAACTTTAAGTTGAAACCCAGACCCCTCAAATCACTCCTAAATCCCCATCTTTCTCTCTGTTTTTTTTTTTTGCCAAAACAAGACCAGAGCAAAACAAGATGACTTTCCCATTAATGTGAAAAAATAGATTCCTAGTAATTACTACAAGAGGCACCTAGTTTAGTTGTTAAACAGTGTTTTGAATTTCAGATGGAGTTGGCCGATTCAATTGATTGAACCATGAACAGTCAATGCCTCGTCAAAGCCTTCTCGATGAGCTGGTCAAACTTAGTTAAAAACTGGATTTGACCAGGAAGATCAGGAAAAGATCTGAAAAATTGGTTTCTTCAATTTCTTTTTGGTTTTTAATTTACTTTCCTTTTTGTTTTCTAGTTTTACATTTTTTTTTTTGTTGAAGTTTTCCTTAACTATTCTTGTCTCGAGTTTGATACTCAAAATTTTTGTGGCATTTAGGTTTGACATTTGAATAATTTGGACAACTAATTCTTTCACCAACTTTTTCGAGTTACCATCTTAGTTTGTAAATTTTGCCAATTAAGTCTCATGAATTTAGTTATGAACTCATCAGTTCAGATTTTTGTTACAGAATATGTAATTAAAAAAAGTTTGTGGCCTTATTATGACTAGGCATATTAATGGATCGGGTCTTAGCCAAATTCAACCCAAATCCAATATACTTGGGTAGGGTTTGGATTTAATTTCTCAAATCCAGACCCTGAAAAAGCGTTTTAAGTCTGGGTAGGTCTGATTTTCTATAATTCACATTCAAATCCAAATTCATACTAGACACTACCCAAACCCATGTATATATAATTAAATTATATATATATATATTAGTAAATTTATAAAATATTCTAATATTCTATGGTTATTAGATCAAATACAGTAAGACTTTATGATTGTTTTCTTTTTTCAACCTAATTCTAGTTGTCATTGTAATTAGTACAAATTTTTTCTGAAAAAGGAGAAAAAGTAAATGTAAATAAATGAAAGATTTGAGGTAGATAAAGTTGAAGTTTTAAAAATAAATAGAACAATCGACAGTAGTTATATTTTTGAGTTCATAATATTGCATTTAACTTCTTGAATATTAATTTTATTATTTGAATATAAAAATTGGATGGTGTTTTTTTTTTTTTTGAAATCGATATATTTTTATATATTTATTTTAGTGCGTTTACAAAAATATAATGGATACCCATTAGATACCAAAATCCAGAAGAGTCTAGGTTTGAACTTATATTTTCAAACCTAGAAAAGTTTAAGTCAGGGTTTGGGTTTAGGTTTGAATCTAACTAAATTTAATGGGTCTCGATCTAAAAAAGAGAGATGTAATCCAAATCCTACCTATTTACATGCCTAATTATGACATTATCCAGTTCTTAAGTAATTTTTAGACCCCAATCCAAACCTGACCTCGAAAACTTACTGTCTCCTCATCCCTAAACTCAATCGAGTCATTACTCAGACCGAGTTTCAAAATACTAGCAGTAAGATGTTATACTTTTGTTGTGCATGCATTTCTAAAATTTCTTTCAGGTACCCGGATGATCTCTATGATCGTATATGGGAAGTCCCTGACTACCAGCCTGACTGGGAAACAATTAACACAGCTTCTTACATTAGTGAAGAATATCTTGACAACGCCTATAAACCTTCACCAATCGTCATGAGCACTGCAGTCAGGCCTGTGCATGGAAGTTCGTTAGTGCTGTCTCAAAATGTTGATCGCAACCAACAATTCTACTTGTACATGCATTTCCTCGAGGTGGAAGATCTCCCATCGACTCAAATGAGGAAGTTTGTCATATTTGTGAACAATAAAATCTGGTCCTACCCTGTTGTTCCAGGCAGTGGTCCAAATACTATCTACAGCAAATATTCCGTGGGTAGTACTGATACCCTACTATTCTCAATCAATAAGACAAATGATTCTACACTTCCCCCAATTCTCAATGCCGTAGAGTTCTACATTCCCAAGAAATTCCCTATCCTGCCCACAAATCAAAGTGACGGTACGCCTAAATCTAATTCTTTTTGGCAAATCTGATGTGCACTTAAATCTGCAGTGTATCTAAAATCTTTTTTTTTTTTTTGACAAACGATAAACTCATATATATATATATAGCAGTGTATCTAAAATCTTATTAATCTCTTTTAGTTCATACTTCATACTCAAATTCGTTTTGATACAAATTATTGGGAGATCTGCGCTAATTACAGCAGTTCTTTCAATTATACTTAACAAAAAAAAAAACAATTGAAAATATAAAGAAGCAATGCTTAAAATGAAGAATTTTATTAAATGCTTTACAGCCCTGAATTATATACATCAATTTTTTGTTCTTAGTTGATTTCAGGATTGTCCCTTTCTTGTAGCGATTTATCGTGTATATTTTTGTGTAATTTTACATAAAATCAAGATACAGATTCATCGGCGTTATGACCTTTTATACGCCATCTTTTTTTTTTTTTTATTTTAATGTGTACATACGACGAATCCTTCTATAGGGCTGTAAAATTTTTTTTCCTCTAACTTTTTTTTCCCCCGACAAACTCTAGTTGACGCCATGATCAGCATTAGGTCAACATATGGTGTAAAGAAAAATTGGCAAGGAGATCCATGTGTACCCGAGGAGCTTAGGTGGGATGGACTAGACTGCAACACCAATGATCAGGGTTTATACAGAATCATTTCAATGTCAGTTTGTGTTTCTACAACAAACTTCATTTTTTGTAATTGAATGTGAAGATGACTGCATCCTTTTCTGCTATTTAACCATGTTGACGGAACTGAATTAAAGCAGGAACCTATCCTTCAGCGGGTTAAAAGATGAAATCGCATTCTCATTGTCTAAACTTGATTCACTCCAAAGCTTGTAAGTATATCTACTGCCATATGTCTTATTTCGTACATTTACTTTTTCTTTTATCAAAAATTACCAATTGCTTTTGCCGGTTATCTTTGACAATAATTGTGGGCATTTTCTCTTTTGTTCAAATTTGATGCCGTTTAAAGGATGTGTTTAGTTATACGTAAATGGAAAGTGCCACCAGAACTGGTAGAACTGGTACTAGTGCAACTACTATTAGAGCCACGTAAGCTACAATTGCAAATAATTGTTTCGTTTATGCAATGAATTCTTTTGCAAGTAATCTTGACGTTGTACCTATTTCCTGCGTAAAGCAAGGGGTTCCCATTGGCTTTAGGAAGAAAACTTCTTGTACTTTTTTTTGGAAGAAAAACTTCTTGTATTTGCATTCTAGAGTAGGACATTTTATGCATCTGAATTTGACTAATAAAGAAAAATTAGATATATAGTACTTTTATCTCACATCGACAATCATTTTTCAGGGACATGTCACACGATGACTTGACAGGAACAATCCCAGATTTTTTGGCCAACATGCCTTCCTTAAGAACAATGTAAGTTCCTACAAGATTTGCCTCAAGAAAAAATTGTAGTTTTGATCCCTAATGTTTGGCCTATGCACCAAATGTTTAGGCCAAAATAAATCTAATCCCCATAATTTGTGATTTTAATTAGATTTAGGACAATTATTAGAAATAGAATAATGACTAATGGCCAACAACAAATTGTTATTAATCAACAACTTTGACTTTGCACTTTTGGTCTCAAATATTTTGACTTTGAATCATCATATTTTCCTAAATTTTAAATAGTGATATTAAGAGTTTTAGCATGAGTTGTAATTAAACTTCTTTTTCTTCTTTTTATTTTTATTTTTATTTCATTTATTCATGTTAATAATATATCATATGTTTCTTTTCTTTTGCATAATTAGTCTTAAATTTGGTATAATATATATATTATTATTTCTCAGTATTAATAATTAATTGATAATGAATTTTTTATTTTTATTTCTAATGATAATTACAAACTTAATTAAATATCCCTTTCAAATATAAGGAATGTGCTGATCTTTTTTTAGGCCATTTAATATGTTATCAGTTGAATTTAAAATAAAGTAGGCATCTTATGTATATTATATTAAACATTAAATGATTATCACAATATATAAATATAAATTCTTTAAAACTACAATATTAGAACGTTAAATTTTAATTGGAAAGATAGACAACAAAAGATGAAATATAGTTTTCTTAAGGTAAGTATCAATGTGAAGTAATTTTTTGAATTCTTTAAAAAAATCTTTTATTTTTTGGTGTCTTTCCTACCAATTAAAATTTAACATTCCAATATTGTAGTTTTAAAGCATTTATTTTAATATCTATGCACCTTAATAATCATGTAGTTGTTCACATAATGTGTATAAAATGGCAACTTAATTTCAAACTCAATTCATAATCTATTAAAATGCCAAAAAAAAGATCAACTTAGTTTACAAAAAAGTATATAGTTTTATATTTTGAAGGGATATTTAATTAAGTTTTTAATTATCATTAGAAATTCAATTAATTATTAATAATGAAATAATATACATATATTATACCAAATTTAATACTAACTATGCAAAAGAAAAAATATATAATATATTATTAGCATAAATAAATAAAAAATATAAAAAAAGAAGAAAAAGAAGCTTAATGTTTTAAATTGTCATTAGTTAAACTTTATGGTTCAAAAATATATTTTAGGTTACTCTATGTAAAAGAATAAATTTCAATTTCTTCCGTAGAGAAGGATGGGGGACAGGAAGGGAAGAAACAGAAGTTGTTAAGGTGTGTTTTTCTCTTATCTTGCAGTAACTTATCTGGAAACAAGCTGGAAGGCTCAGTCCCTGCACTTCTTCGTGATAAAATGAAAAACGGGGCATTGGCACTCAGGTATTTTAAATTCTAGACCATGACCCTTTTTCTTTTTGTTCTATTCTAGGGGATGACTTATTTAACTACACATTCGTTGAATAGAAGGAAAGTCCTATGGGAAAGTGAAGTGAGATAAAGAAAAGTGAATATGAGTTTCCTATATATGTTTGGTTACTAAGAAAAATATTGAGAGAATATAAGAAGTTAATGACAGTTAATAGCAGTTATTCAAACTTTCGTGAGTTACTTTCCTCAAAGTCCTGCGAATTTTGTGGGACACAAAGTGCAGGAAAATGCAAGAAAAAGTTTCAATATTCCTAACTTTCATTCATTTCTTCACACTTTTCCGATAAACAAACACTATATTTCACTTTTATTTGAGACATAGCATCCCATAATGTTTTTAGATTGTATCAATGAGTCACATTTGCTAATAGATCGATCTAATTAAATTCAAGTGGGAGGAAATTGGAATTGTATACCCAGATAACGCCAGAAAGAGACAAAAATTACATACAAGTAATTTTTGCTCATTTGTTTTTTGGTTAAAATGTAATTTTTGTTCTTTTTCTTTTCAGTTAAAAATTATTATTCTTTTGTTCCTTTTGTGCAAGTTTGGATGGAAACCCGGATCTTTGTTTATCAGGCCCTTGCAAGAAGAAGAAGTCTCATAAGCAGAGATTGATCGTTAGCATCGTTGTACCGACCATATCATGTCTTCTTGGCATAGTAATCGCGGTTGCGATTTTCAAGCACAGAATAAAAGCCGCCTCAACGAAGGGTACTCCTTGATATCTCAACTGTTCAAAATTGCACTACTACTCCTTTCAAAAGCATAATATTTTTGTTTGACGTACAATTTTATAAGATTCGAGGGTTCAAAACATAGCCAATTGCAATGACAGGAGTGATTCGAGATCTTTGTTAACTTAAACATCGGAACACTGATGTAGTACAAGAAATGCCCATGAGGCTATGAGGAATTTGGTTGTAGGGGTATGAAATTGAAATGGGATGGTAATTTTATCAATTATTGTGTTTGGAAAGACAAAAGAGGCCTTTTTACCCTCTGGTCCAATTGTTGAAAACGTATCAATCTTTTTTGGGTCGCTGCAACAATTCCTAATGTACTAAATCTTGAGTTAGAGCACCCTTAGGCCAAAAAAGTTCATTAGAACACCTTCTTGATTTATTGCAAAGCAGGAATTTGTCCCTAACCTCAGCCAAAAAAGTAACTTCAACGGATGTTTACAAAAAAAAGGAGGGGAGGGGGAGGGGGAGGGGGGTGGGAGGTTACATCGGTAAATTTATTGATACTGCTAGAACCTAAATATTCATTCGTGTTGGAAACTAATTAATATTCATTCATGAGAAAATGAATTATTGCATATCTTGTATTTATTAAAGGGATAATTTCAGAAACCTCCCTTGAGGTTTCTTACTATTTCACTTAGTTCCATTGATGTTTTAAGAATTACACTTACCTCCCTTGATTTGACACTTTGGTAACCAAACTTTAAAATAGAGTAAAATGTTTAATGAATACCCTAAAATGCCCTTATCTTACAAAGTTCAATTTGTTCTTCTAAACAAAAAGAGTATCAAGTTTTCATGCTAATATTTGTTATTCAATAATCAACTATAACAATAAATCTTTTGCTATAATAGGGTATTTTTCGTAGTGTTTTACTGGGAATATAAATTCTTTTTAAGATAGAGAGTGGTATTTTGTTTCTTTTAAAGTTTATGGACTTCTTTTTAAATGAAAATTTATGGATTGGTTTAATGGTGGAACTATCATAATTTTGTAGTGATTTTGGGCCATTTGTTTTTAATCATTGTTGACTTACCCTTGATTTTGATACCAAAAAAAAGAGCTACCAAAAAATTGGAGAATATTAAAAGTAATCAAAAAAATATTAATAGTTTAATGTAATTTGAATAGATATTAGGGACAACATTGATACTTCTCCCATACTTCTAATAAAATATAAGAGAAATGAATAAGAAGGAAAATGGTAAAAAAATATAAAATCCTCAATATTAAGGTTAGTATTGCATAAACATGGCAACAAGAAAGTTTTATTAAAAATATTAAGGTTAGTATTGTCATTTTAAATGGACAAGGGAGGTACGTGTAATTTTTGAAACCTTTGGGGAGCCAAGTGAAATTATTAGAAACCTCAGGAGAGGTTTCTAAAATTATCCCTTAATTAAATACTAATGCATATTTCAAGGTTTATCATCATTGTAAAAATGTAGTTATTATTTCAATAGAAAATCTATTCATGTTTTGGTATTTGCTGCAGTGTTTTGACGAATATTCTTACATTATAGTAAAAGCATGTGTATTAGTTCTAAATAATTTGTATGATAGTTGAACACTTGGAATAAATTAATTATCTAAAAGTGATATTAATGAATACATAAGAATACTATTAATATTTTTTTCTTAAATTATTCATAGTTGCACAACTTCACTATTAACCAAAAAAAAATACCGTGCTAAGGCACAGGCTAATATACTATTAAATATTGTGGTTTTCATAAAACTTTAAATTAATCTTTTATACATTGTTAGTGTACAAATTTTTTTACACTAACATGTATAGATACATGCCACATGTTCAAAAAGTGAATTTTAAATTTGTGCAGAAAAAATGTAATATATATTTAAATCCACTAGCGTGAATTCTTACTTTGACAACGTATAAAAAAAATAATCCAAAATCTTTGCCATTTGGTGGAGTTGGAAAAGAAAACATTTTGATGACGTCTAAAATTTGCCCCCATTAGGTACTTGTGATGAACTAAAGAAAGAACAAGGAGAGGGTCGTACTATCGTTGAACTAAAGAAAGAACAACTATTGAAGACAAAAAGTACAATGTTCAAGTGCTCTGAGATAATTGAAATTACCAACACCTTTCGGACAGTTATTGGAAGGGGAGGTTCTGGAATAGTTTATCTTGGATGCTTGGAAGATGGCAGCAATGTTGCTGTAAAAATGCTGTCTTCTTCATCAGCAACCCGTGGACAAAAGCAGTTTCAATCAGAGGTAATCAAGACAATTTGGCACTATCTACCCATTTACCTATAGGGATAATTTCAGGAGCCTCTCCCAGGTTTCAAACAATTTCATTGCTATCCCTTAAGATTTCAAAAATATCACCAACCTCGCTTGAAACCTATATCCTTGTAAAAATTTACCGAATTAAAAAAAAAAGAAACAAAAAAAATGATTTTAGGTGTGAGAAGATCATTTGATTTCAAAGTGCTCCTCACCTATAATAATAGTTAATTTAATTATTCAATCTAACTTATTGTTTCATTTATAAGGCTGTTACACATGATTAACGAAAAAATTTCATCATTTGCAACCAAAAGTAACAAATTTTGTATCAAAATTTTTGACTTACCTTAAGATTCTTGTTATCATCATGGTATTAAGAAGAGACAATGGAAAACCAAATTCTCCTCACATCCAATTTTTTATGATCTTTAAGAACATAAAAAAAGCTAGTCTAGCATTTGATCCCTTTTCTAATGCCAAATTAATTTTAAACGTAATAAAATTATGGGTAATTTTGTTTTTAAATGGCTTAATTATTTTTAATCAAATTATGGTTAATAGTTTGTAAACAGCTTAATTCTTTTTCATGTTTGAATCCTTTTATTTATTATGCACATTAAATATGATTCATTTTATTTGTCAAGTACATCAATTGAAAAAATGCCCCCCTATATTGGTTCTCTTTTTATATAGCAAATTAGTTGTTTTTTTAATTTCAAATTATGGTTAATTTAATTAGCAAATCTTTTAATTGTTTCTCTCCTCAAATATGTGTAAAACATCTTAAATTGTAAGGATAGCAGAGTCATTTCACTATTAATGATATAAGCATTGGGTCCCAAATTGCTGATATGAGAAGTAAGTGATATTTTTAAAACCTCAGGAGAGGGCAATGAAATTGTCAGAATCCTCAGGGAAGGTTTTTCAAATTATCCCTTGCCTATATCGAATGGTAAATAATCATCGGTTGTGGAATAGGTATTCTAGAAGTTTTGCGAAAATTTTTCTAAGATTCCCAAATGAAATACATGTTTTAATTATTTTTTTATTTTACATATATCACATTTAAAAAGTATTACGGAAATGTAGTTTTCAAAAAATACGTTTAGACAAAGTAATCTAAAAGATATGTCCACAGTTATACTGGTTTTGAAAACATTTTCTATGAGGCAAAATTATTAGTACATAATTGAATTTTGGATTTTTGGAAATTTCTCGGGCTTGTGATTTATATTCCTTAGGTTAGCCCGTTCAGAGGAAGACTGTACTAGAGGACATATCAATCAAAGTCAGAATTGCTACTACTCATTTTTCTAACGGACTTTGTTATATTATCGACGAAGGTGGAAATCTTGATCAAGATTCATCACACAAACTTGGTATCTTTTGTCGGATATTGCGCTGAAGGAAGAACTATGGCTCTAATCTGTGAGTATATGGCGAACGGAAATTTAAGACAACATTTATCAGGTATTTTAGCCTCTATGTTCATGCTTCCTACTTTTTTTGTGATAAAATATAACTTTTTATTCCATGAAATCTAAACTAATGCAAAAAAATACAACGAACATGTCACAAATATGGTTAATCTAAAAAATCATTAAATTTAATAAATTTTTAGAAAATAACAAAGATTACATTGTGAAACTCCAACTGATCAAATAAATCAGGAGCAGCCCAATGAAGCTCTATGCAAGTTAAGACCATCAAAACTGCTGTTTAACTGGTTCAAAGTCAAAGTCGATGTTGAGATCAGATGAAATGAAAGGAATCCCATATTTGATATATAGATGTGAAAAACCCTTAGATCTATTAAAGAAATAACAAAAAACTAACAAAACTCCATAAAAAGAAAAAAAAAACTCTCATTAGGAAACCCTATGAGTGAGCAAAACTCACAATAGAAAACATTAGGAGAAAGAAAACTCTTACTGAGATACTTTAAGAGAGACTTTATTGAATATAAAAAAAAAAAAAAGGTAAAGAGGGGCAGACCTTGGCTTGAAACCAAGATCTCGCTCCATGGAGGAAAAAACTATTTGAAGTCTTTGGAAAGATAAGGTAGAGAAATTTTGGTTATGTTCATGCTTATTTCAAAACCAATGGACCTTTCAGAAATTAGAAAAAATTTATGAGAGCGTTTATAGTTGTCCAAATCATCTAAAAGATAAAAACAAATACTATAAAAGTTTTGAATATGAAATTCGAGTGAGGAGAAATAAGAAAAACTTAAAGTGGTAAAAAAAATAAAGAAAATGTACTGGAAAACAAAAAAAAAAAAACTAATAAAAACTGATTAGTTTGACTTTTGTTCGATTTTCCCTGGTCAAACCCAGTGAAATGCTATCTTTTTTTTTAAAGAAAGTTTGGATCAAACAACTCACTAGTCCCCCATTCAACCAATTGAATTGGGTGGTGCAATTTAAATTTTAATTCACTGCTTTTACCAATGGGAAAGACTACTTGGGGTCAAAATTACTAGAATATTTCTCAGAAAAAAATACATAAAATATTTTGGAAAAATTGCTGCATCTAATGTTTGAAAACCTAACCGAACCGTTTGGTTTGACCAATCAAATTGTGAACCGGCCATGTTTTCGATCTGGTTCAATGATTAAATCAAAGACTTCAATTGAACTGGTCAAACTCGGTCGGCTCAACCAGATTGCACTAAATTTTTTTATTTTTAAAATAAATATTTCGGCTTAATTCAAAAGTTTTAATACTAAAATAAATAAAAAAATTACTAAACCTTTGAACTAGGATTGAATCGGTCATATCGATTGAACTACAAACTAGAAGTTCTTTCGCTTCACTTCCAAGTCCAAATTTAAAAGCATTGGCTACACCATGGACTATAAGTTGTACTAAGCAACAATACGACGTAAGCAACAATCATAAATTAAAAGATAACTGGCCTTAATTTTAGGGGTTCTATATTTGTGTCTATCATTTGGAAATATTGTGATTTTAAGTTACTTTTTATAGGTAAACTCTTCTTTCACATTCTTTTTGATAAGGACTAATTCCATTTGTATGCTTGAATTTATTGATGTATTAACAATTGTGTGATGTCCATCCACAAAATGAGGCATGTGCTAGTTGATACTTAAAGATTTTTTGGATTACGGTATTGATCAAGTACTCAATTTCAATCCAAAGTATATCATTCAAGTGTACGTGTGAAGAAAAGATGTTTAGGTACTAAAGTATGATCACAAGCAATAATTTAGGGTGCCAACTGTCAATCCTTATAATTTAAGAGCACAATTTGGTTTAAACTCTTTACTATTCCCTATTTTTTATCTTGTGTGTGAAGATTATACATAGAGGAATGTGGCTGGTAAGTTTCTTTACTTATTGATTCTTATTTGAATGACTTTCTTTGAGCACAGGGAAAAATCTTAACCCTTTAAGCTGGAAAGAGAGAGTTCACATTGCATTAGATGCTGCACAAGGTGGTTTTCAACTCAGTCCATTCTTTTCTCTTTTGGGGTTTCGGGGAATTATCAAGTGGTAATGAAGTCAATACATGGTAATGACCACAAAGTTTCATCTCAGGTTTGGAGTATTTACACGATGGATGCAATCCTCCAATTATCCATAGAGACTTGAAAAGTGCCAATATACTATTGAACCAAAAATTGCAGGCTAAGCTTGCTGATTTTGGGTTGTCTCGAATTTTTGCAAGTGAAAGTGATACTCATGTAACAACAGCAGTGGCTGGAACAGCAGGTTACCTAGATCCAGAGTATGTATTCAATATGAAGTTAAATTTTTCTATTTTCCTAAGCTGCCATTCTAAAACGGTTTTTCAAATCATTGCAATCCTTTTCCTAATTGATATATACAGCTTTGAGTATACAACTGGAATAGTTATTTACAACTTAGGATGAAAATATTGTGAGAATATGGACACAATATACGAGTCTTCTATAAATTATGTTTGGTGAACTTTGCTAGAAACTAAATATTCATTTACACGAAAAAGTTCTATTTCTACTTCTTTTGTATTTAATTAAAAACAAAGATGCAGTTGTTGATTTCAATGCCAAAGAATACTTGTTGCCCATTTATTGCAGCATTTGATGAGCTTTACCACATTATAATATATCTATGCATAAAAGTTTCAAAAAAAAAAGTATGATAGTTGAACATTTAGAATTTAAGAAATTTTTTAAACAATATGAAAAAAGATGTAAGCATATTATAATATTTTTTAGAGGCTCATAAATTGTGTTTTCCATTCTCAAAATATTTTCGTCCTAAGTTGTAAAAAATATTCAGTAAAACTATATATTCTTATTCAAGTTTATAATCTAGATTTTATGATGAATATTAGTTTGTGTTTGACTGTTCGCCCCTTCTCTAAACCAAAATCCGGGTTCCATCCCTACCAAACTATCTAAGAATTTTTTTTTTTCAAGATTTTGTATCCTTCAAAGTAAAACTATATATTATGTGCATTGGTGTCCTTTAATGACATCTAAATTGGCTTTCAGATATAACTACACCTTCAAGTTCAATGAGAAAAGTGATGTTTACAGCCTCGGCATCGTTTTATTGGAACTGATCACTGGAAAACCAGCCATCATAAAGGGCACCGATGATGTCAATATTCACATTGTTGAATGGGTGAACAAAAGGGTAGAAAGGGGAGACATTCATGAAATTATGGATCCAAAACTGAAAGGAAAGTTCAACATAAACTCTGCCTGGAAGTTTTTGGAGGCCGCCATGACGTGTACAATGGCAATGGCTAGTCAGAGGATGAGTGCAATGGAGTTACTTGTTGAACTAAAGCAGTGTTTGGCAATAGAGCTATCTGAAGAGATAGCATCAAGGGCTGCAGATTTTCCGCAGGATGGTGGCCTTGAGATAGACACCGCTCCAAGTCCAAGATAGGTCATTCATGATCATTGCTTCTCTACCTCTTTCTGCTATGAGATTGGTGGTGCAGCCCAGCTGCCATGTACGTCTGAGAGAAGAAATTGCATTTGCAAACATTTCATTTGTGTTAAATTTATTATATTCTCTACCTCTTTCTGTTTTGTATTTTATATTTGATAAATTTCATGCCATTAGAAGAATATGTTAACATTATAATCTAAATAATTTTGATAGTCCCTGATAGGGTAAAAGACAATTCCCTAATTAATTCACTCGATTATGCATCAAGTGAATGTAAAAGTCACTCACCCTCCTTACATAGTAGTCCTTTGATCAGCTTCATTGATTGGGAAAAACTGGAATTTTGTAACCCACTCACAATATCTTCCAAGGCTTTAGTTGCTATCAATCTCAAAAGAGAGTTTAAACACCCTGCAAATTCTTAATGTTTTCTTTCGACTGCTTATAAGTTTTAGGAATTAATTGAATCTAATTAGTTTGAGTTATTTCTTCCTAAACTTTTTTTGTTGTCTACATTCATATCATCACTTAATTTCTCGTCCTTTTTTAATGCCTATGCATAATGATTAGATAATCAATTGTTAAATTACTTTTGTTACCAGTTTTCGATAAGATTATTGTTTAACTGTTTAAATGAAAATTAGCCACTTCTTTAGTCATGCATACTAATGCAGTTTTACTTGCTAAAATGTGCATCTAAGAGGAATTAACACTAGACGTTCCTTTTTTCCCCTCAAACATGAAGCTTGGCCTAAAGCTTACTAGATCTAAAACCTATGAACTGAATATATTGAAGCAGAAAAATATTGGATGTCACACTTGATAAACATTTTTCAGACATCAAACAAGAGCACAAAAATTCACCAATCTAGGAAACCTAGGCTCTATGTTTGGGCATACTTCTTTGTGGTAGAAACTCTACTACTCATTGAGGACTCTACTTTAAGAGAAAAAAAAAAGGACAAAAATATCAGCAGCCGCTAAACTATTCGTCAGATCATGTTTTGGCTATCAAATTATTTTTCGTTAGTAATTGGCCACTAAATAATTTAATCAATAAACCCATGTCCATTTGATCTATAATTGCTTTTAATTTATAAAATTAGCAGTACATGTGGCAAAATGCGAGGGCAATTTTATCTAACAACTATGTGACCCTGTTCTCCCCTTAATTTACTCAATTGGGAGCCCCAAATCTTCAATCACAAATCGAAGAAGCCGAAAAAGAAGACGAAGAAGCTAGGCACTCTCCTAAACCCATAACAAGAGGAGATGTTATAACAAGAGGATTTAGTCTTGGAATGTAAATTGCAGGGTGAGGGATGTTGCTTTTGGGAATGGTATAATCCAACAGTGTAGGAAAGATCAACTCAATGATCGTGGGAACCATTGGAAAGACAACCAAAATTTAGAAGCCAGGAATCAAGCTCCGGACTTCATACATGAAATTGGTTGGCTCCTCCGTAGAAATAAGTTGAAGTTTAGATTGAGTCTACAAGATTCCAACTTGGATACATTTCCTTTCCAGCGATTCAGATGGCCTATAGAGTTCTCAGTCGAACATGACTGGTGTACAGTGGTCAAGATGCTTTTGAATGTTCTGGTCAACAAACTCATGGGTGAAGAAAAACGCTCTTCAATTGAAAATGCATTGCTGGAAAATGGGTTGCTCCATAGAGCTGTTTGGCAAAATTGTAGGTCCATGGTTAAGTCCTCCTAAGATACCCTCCAGATGCAGAACTGAAAAAATTAAGTCCAATCTGCTATTTATTTAGACCGATGTTAGGGCTTGACTCCTCTGCACATAGCAGCCGGATGCGATGGAGTTGAGCAAGTGTTGGATACATTAACTGATGATCTTGGACTGGTACGGCCCTTCTTAATATGTATATTGTTATTAGTGGAACATTACTTTTGGAAATGGAAAAATACTACTCAGATCCCCCAGTGGAAAAATACGACCCATGCTAATATCTTTGATTTGTGTTTGAAGATTTGAGGCTCCTAATTGAGTCCCTATTTTTCTTCCACATAATGTTCCATTCGGTGATTGTTTGAGGAAAGAAATTTAGGGGAGAATAGGATCGCGCAGTTGCTAGGCAAAATTGCCCCTGCATTTGGTCACATGTACTGCTAATTTCACAGATTAAAAATAATTATCGATCAAATGGTCACGGGCTTACTGATTAAGTTGTTTAGTGGTCAATTATTGACGAAAAATAGTTTGATAGCCAAAACATGATCTAACGAATAGTTTAGTGCCCGCTGAAGTTTTTTGCCAAAAAAAAAAGGTTAAATGTTACCCAAGTTGTAGAAATGTTTAGTAAATGCCTTTTTTCTTTCGAAGAAAAGTCTAATGCATTCTCAGAAGAAAAAACTAATGATATTTTACTTAAGTCCAATGTCCCTTGAGTGTTATATTGTTGTTGGATAGGTTTTTATTTGTAATTTTTTTTATTGCATCACAAATAGTTTTTCAATCACATTTTTATCTTACTAATCACATTTATATTTCACATATATCACATTGATAGTGAGACAATTATGTATGTTATTTGATGGTATTTGGTCTCAATTTTGGCCACTTATTATGCAAAGTAATGGGTTTCTGTTCCTAATTGGTATTTGTGTCAGTTGCAGGCAATTGGTGTCAAAAGTGGTGAAAAGATGCCAAATTCCAGAAGACTATTCATTCTTGAGCGTGCCCACGCCAGAGACCGCAGAATTATGTCCAAAAGACGGACCGAGAGAATCATCCCGGGAAGCTGAGCTATTCTTGGCAGACGTGTTTTGAAGCTGCGTGGGATTAGGAAACATCTTTAGAGAATACCTTTGGCAACAACTCAATGAAAAAAATAAGGAAGCTATCATTTATAGAAACAAACTCTCGAAGCTATCCTTTATAGAAACAAACTCTCAATTGGTAAAGGGTGGCGGGGAGATTTTAAATAGGACATCAATAGACTAGAAGTTTTTATCTTTGATCTTGGATCTTTTTCCTTTTTTCCCTCTAAACGGGAGTTAGAGACTCTTTAGCCGCTGTATTCTTTTTCATCAACAAAAGTACATTAAAGCCTGGGATTGCATCATCCTTATGAGACAAGGCTAGGTTCCTTTACTTAGTTGAGAAATAATCAAGGTCCGGTGCACGGACAATTGTGAGATCTTTTTAATTGTTCTGCGTGATTTTAAATTTTGCATTCGTGAGTATTTAATTATTCCTTGTTTTAATAGCCTATTGTTGTTTGGATCTATTGGATTAATGTAATCAATTATTCAATTGTCTGAATAGTATACTGTCAATTAGGACAAGGGTGCATATCACTTGATTTGTGGGGTATATGTCGTACCCACTTTTGGTATGACCCATATTCAAATGTGGTAAGACCCTTATTCAAATGGGTACGATCACGGATGGTGGAACAACTCTAACTTTAATTATACGTCAGAGCCAATCAATTTTCAACATCAATATCAACAGCAACAGCCATCATCCATGCCAGGTATGTCTCTTGAAAAAATAGTTGAATTAATAGCTACTAACAAATATCAATTTCAACAGGAGACACAAAGGATGATTAAAAAAGATGGAATATGAAAGGCGTTTGACGGGTATTTTACATACGTACAAGTTAAAAAATCGAATTACACCCGTTCACTGCAAGTATACAGGTCAACTAGTAGTTTAGGGTATATATCGGGTCGATCCCACAGGGAAGAGTGAACAATTACCGGTATTACTAAAGTTTCTTTATTATTTAGACTATCAATGAATTATAAGAAATTTAACCTACTGAAATTATACAAAATAACAAATAAAAGCTCCTTAGGTTGTGGTATCCCTAACTACTCATGCAAGTGCTACATTTGGATCATTGAATACTACATTTAGGCTAGTTATGGTGTAATTTCCTTAAACATGTGAAACCTACTTTCGTAGTGAATCAACTATACTCATAACTAATCCATACCTATTTTCATGGTTATGAAATTAGCTACAAGTTCATTTCTTCAATGAAATTACATGAAATGAATCACTAAAAACCACATAAGTGCACCTCTACTTTCGTGAGTGTACTCCCTATGTTTAGCACTTCTTGAACTAGTGTTAAATCTCAATTTTCATTGCAGAAACAACACCTTAGATAATCACAATCAATGGTACCAGATTAATCATGATTTAAAGAGCTAAAGTGCTAAATAACTTGCTCAAATCTTAGCAAACAAATAACCAAATAATAAACACTAACAATCATAGAAAGTTCAACCAAACCCAAGGTATAAACTTTAAAACACATAATGAACACAAAATCCAGAACTTGTATATTAACTAAACTTGGAATCAAATACAAAAGATAAAGAGTTTGGAAGGAATACAACCCTTGTCACATGAGCTTTCTTCCTTGCCTTCTTCATCCTCCATCTTCATCCTAATCTAGATAATAAACAAGAATGGATGAACTATACTACTCTATACTAAGCTAAACTAATACTAGGAAGATGAAAGAGCTACATTTCTGCAGACTCCAAGCTTCTCCCGTATGTCTCTCTATCTCTTACTCTATCATCCCCTTTTCTCCATTTTGCAATGAATTTGGCTATTTAATGATGAAAGGTGGTCAAGAAATGAAGCTTTACACTTTCTCCTTACAGCTGGTAATGTCTCTCACATGTCTAGCATCACATGTGAGTTGGTGGAGGTGAAATTGAGTTTTACGCGTATAAAGCAGCCTTTTCTGACCAGTGATCCGAGCTGCTACAGTGCCTCGGATCCGTATGGATCCGAGCTCGGATCCACTAACCCAGAAACAGCCGAGGGTTCGGATGAATAGTGGATCCGAGTGTGGATCACTTGCTCTGTTTTTGGCCCAACTTCAACCGATCTTTTCTTGATGTTAGAGGCTGAACCAGCTCATGTGTAAAACACGAAAGTTGTAGCCTTTTGAGTTATCTTTCCAATGCATCAAGAATCACCTCATTTGGATCTGTGTAGG